AACTGCGGGAAACTCTGCAAAAAACGCATCTTCGCACGGGCAGCCCGTGCGTTGGCCATTTATTTGAAAGGTGAAAACACTTGAAATAGTAGAAATTAGAAGGATTGGAATTAAGTGTCATGTGTAAGAAGACATTTTGCAATGAGTGTCTGTATTTCATCCCTTAGCTGTGAACACAGACCGAACTATGCATGCGCGTAGGAGCGGGAACCATCAGTACAGCCTCCTAGAGCTATCTATTCAAACTAGCTTATGTGATATCACTCTAGCAAGTAACACAGCTCTCGTGCTTGAAACCGGAATTTCCATTCCGCCAGTATGACAGCTAATTCCTCAACCACTCGTTTATTCGCTTCCATGACACGTTGATAACAACACGGCGAGAAAACGGTCAGCTTGCAACCCTCGAAAGAGACCCATCAGACAGCCTTGCCAGTATGTGGTTGATGCTGGTACATGCTAATAATGGGTCTAAGTTAGAGTGCCTGCGACTTTGATCGAAAATAAATATAGAGGAGATTTTGATATTTTGATATTAGTCTGTTAAGAATTAGATCAGCTAGTAGGGCTGCTGGTGGGTACCTCTTCCCACGGTGTAAGTTGAACCATTGTGCTAATTTTTTTGTTATCGAAAAGGGAATTGATCATTCCACTGATGAAAAGGTGAACAGTTTTTTTGGAAGGAATGGAAGAAAGAAAGAAAAAACAAGTGTGGTTGTGTTGATGACTTCTCTCCCCAGTTTATTCAACACACACACACACACACACACTGATTCAGTAACACGACACATAGCGAGATCACATTTCTAGGAGCGTGATACAGTACTTGGGAGGGGCATATAGTACTTGTTATACAGTACTTACAGGCATATCGTCAGTAGTTTTATACAGGCATATGTTCTTGTATGTACTTGTCATATCGTAATACATATGTACTTATCATACAGGCATATCGTCATACAGTACTTGGGAGGAGCAAAAAGCATCAATAATTTCGCGGAATTAGTAATTCCACGAAAATTTTGGCGTCTTCATGCTGGACATATAATTTTGCCTCAATTCAGCATGCCCCAGGCTTGTTGTCCATGCTCGAATGATGCTTATCACGATGTTTTTTTTTTTTTTTTTTCAGCTGGCACTGGAAATCGCTAACCAGGAGGCACTGGTTTCTGCAGTTGTTGAAGATGGCCGTGAATTGTGCAAGCAAACAACTGGCGATGAAGCAATTGCATTGCAAAGTCGTATCGAAGCATTGCGAACACGTTACATTGATCTAACAGCTGTAATTGATGCAAAAATTGCGGTTCTGAGTGAAGCATTGCCACTGGCCGAGCGATTCCATGAAGGTTGCGGAATCGTGCAACAATGGATGGATGCTGTGGAGCAGGATATGCAAAACATTGATCAGGTTTACTGTGTTTTTATTTAGAATCTCTACGTAAAGTGATGCCGTCCAAAAAAACTTCTTTACAGTTGCTTTTTAAGATACTAAATTTGCGCCGAAGGCAGCACTAGTGGTGTTTGAGTTAAACAGTCACTGAAGAATTGGCCAGATTCCACGTAATTTAGCACTTTTTTCGATTTAATTAAGACATGAAAACAGGGAGTAGTCACCAAAATTACTCGCAAGCTGGCCAAAATGATCTTTTCCGTGATCTCTACAAGCAAACCTAGTGATATAGGGATCCCACAAAGGCTTTTCCTCTGCATATCCGACAAAAATGCTCTCTATTATTGGTCTGTATCAGCATACAGTAGCGTTTCTTATCCAGTTACCACTTCCCACACTTATAGGATGCGGTATGCCGACTGTAGCAACTAGGTTGACTTTGGAAGCCTAAATGGCGAAGGCGCGATAGATTACAGCATGAAGGAACCGTATAAGAGAAGGTAAGAATGAGATAAGACGTTTCGGTCCATTAAGTCATTTATATGATATATTTGCTCAGCATGTGCGTATTTATAGCGTTTGGGCAGG